TAAAGTAAAAATTAATAATACGCCTTTTGTATGGAATTAAATAGCAAGCACTTTGAGTGTCTTGTTCATCATATTTATTTTTATATAAAGGCAACAGAACTGAAATCATATCATGTTAATCAGCAGCACAGCACATGAGTGAGAATAATTCGATATCCGCCTTTGATCTTGTAGGTATCTGTTCCACTTCGAGATGTCAGAACTGTCCATCTTGACTGCGCTAATTTCACTCCTCCCCTCACTGCAGCTGCCTACTCTCGCCTACATTTCAGGCAAGGCCAGGCGCATCTCAAACAAGCCTATAGGCATTGGCATAAAAACGGGGTATGCAGAATAGGCAGTGCATTTTGCCAAAATCATTCTGTGAAATTCTTCTTTAATAAAACGTTATAAATAATCAAAAGCTTAGTTATTAAAAAATAATTAATGCAGCATTATTATTTAACAGTTTTTAGCATTTTAATGAGTTAAAATGTATTTATTAAAAACTTAAGACATGGAACGGCCATATCTCTTTGCGACCACAACAAGCGGGAGACTTTTTAGACGCGCACATCAGCTTGTCCTCAGCACCAGGTGCGAGTCAAACAAGCGCGGAAAAGGTACATATGCCAGATAAGCTTCAGTAAAACAACAGGGAACTGCGGTCTGATGAGATATTGATATATGGCAGTAAAAAATGTCCTGTCAGCCGTTTTACTGTGCTCATGGAGCACGCTCTTCAACTGTACGCGAATATGAGGCGCACGCTCAATTCATAAATAAACCGCACTAGAAACTGCAAGCATACATCATCAGTTAAGTCACGAAATGACCAAAATGGCGATTAAAACGGTGCATGCATGTGAGCTCACTCATAACGTTTACTGGAATATATGAAATGACACCAAACAGACATGAAATACAGCTCATCCGGTCTCATAACATTCTCCTCAACAGCTTTCATGCGACTGATTTACCAGTTCAACAAACACTAAATCAGTCTTTCCATAATTAAGAGCTCAATTTCTTTTTCTGTTGTTTTTCTGAACATAGAAAATATAACATCATAAGAACATTAGTACATCATAACTGGAATATATGAAATGACACCAAACAGACATGAAATACAACTCATCCGGTCTCATAACTGTCAAAAATAAATATACATGTGAAAATAAGCAATGAGAAAATACAGAGACAGAAACGCAAAGAATACCATGTGCTCCTAATGCACTCGACAGCGCGCGCAGTAAAACATCTCAAACTGACATAGACCATTTTCCCTGAATTTGCTTTCTGTTTTGAAAAAAAGTGTGTTGATTCATAGAAGAAATAAGGCGATTCACTGGTTTCAACAATCTGCCAAACTTTGACCTGCGACCCGGTAACTCAGTACCATCTACTGTACCATCAACTGTACCATCAGGGTCAGAATTACAGACATTACTTTCTTCAGGACTTCCCTGACAGACCGAGTGATCTGGAGAAATATTTCCAGAGACCACACTTTGTGATGGAACATCAACAACTGCAGCGGAGTCGTGAGCATTACCTGACTCAACCGTCTGCGAATCATTGTCAGCCACTACTGGGCCTTCACCATCAGGTACAGAGTCATCAGAGGATACAGAACAGTTATCAGAACCGTCACAATTCACAGAAAATACACTCTCGTCATCATTTTTTTCCACAATGTCACTCAAAGGGAGGAAATTTACACACAAAAGAAGGTTTCTGTGTACCACCTTTAACTGACCAGAGACCCAAATGAAGTGCCTTTTACATTTCATCTTAGCAATTCCTACACACACATATTAACATCAAACACTGAATTTAATACTTCAGACTAAGAACTGAAATAAACCATTTACCCAGAGTTTGCTTTCTGTTTTGAAATAAAGTGTGTTGATTCATAGAAGAAATAAGGCGATTCACTGGTTTCAACAATCTGCCAAACTTTGACCTGCGACCCGGTAACTCAGTACCATCTACTGTACCATCAACTGTACCATCAGGGTCAGAATTACAGACATTACTTTCTTCAGGACTTCCCTGACAGACCGAGTGATCTGGAGAAATATTTCCAGAGACCACACTTTGTGATGGAACATCAACAACTGCAGCGGAGTCGTGAGCATTACCTGACTCAACTGTCTGCAGATCATTGTCAGCCACTACTGGGCCTTCACCATCAGGTGCAGAGTCATCAGAACTTGGGAAGGGAGTCGTTCGAATCATTCCATAGTACGCTCTTGAAAACAACATCAACTGGTAGTCTCGGGGTGCGACCGAACATTAGATAGAAGGGAGGGTACTCCGTAGTCTCGTGCACTGTGCAGTTGTACACAAATGTTAATGTATGGAGCATCCGAGGCCAATCTTGCTTTGGTCGTGGTTCAAGGGCTCTGACCATGTTTCCCAATGTTCGATTAAATCTTTCTGTGATTCCGTTGCCCATAGGATGATATGGTGTCGTTTGTGACTTCTTAACACCAGAAGAATCAAGCAAATGCCTAATGAGCTCACTACAAAAATGGGCCCCCTAATCAGAATGAATGCGGTCCGGGAAACCATAGTAGCAAAAGTAGTTATCCCAGAGCTTCCTTGCTACTGACTTAGCTGACTGGTCGGGGCAGCGAAAGGCATGGGCCAGCTTGGTAAAATGGTCAGTGACCACTAAAACATCAACTGACCTATTCTGTGAATCTTCCGCAGTCCAGAAATCAATGCAGACTAATTCAAGTGGAGCAGAAGTCTTGACACTCTCCAATAGAGCTCGGCCCTCCGGCTCTGGTGTTTTTGCAAGCACACAACGACTACACACTTTCACATAGTCACGAACATCACGTTCCATCTCTGTCCAGTAGAAACGTTGACGAGACAGTTGGAGAGTGCGATATTGGCCTTGGTGTCCGGCCTCATCGTGACATCCTTTCAGCACGTCAGCTTTCAAGGAAGATGGTACCACGTACTGAAATCTTTTGTGACGTGACAAGGGGTCTCTCGAAACATGATACAAGACACAATCATTCAATAATAGCTTCTCCCACTGCTTCATAAGCTTCCTTACAGCGCTGGGGTCCCCCATGTGCTCACGCATCGAAGGCCTGCGCTTTCGGTCAACATAGAACATCACCCTTTGCAAATGTTCATCCTCAAGCTGTTTGTCTCTCAGTTCTTGACGAGAGTACGAAGGAAGGGCATCAAACCCAACATCTGCGATCTGTTGGACAAATCCAGCTAAAGGAATGGCCCATGTCTGTGTTCCGTCGTCCCAAGAAAGGCGATTAGAAAAGACAGCAGCCACTTCCGCACTTGAAAAGCTACCAGGCCGTGTCTGATTTGACTGCTAACTGCTCACAAGCACTCGCAGGGGCCTCTATACTGTCAAGCACTCGCTGACTGGCATTTGACAACCGGAAAACATCCTGGACAGCAGCACAGGTATGGTTACTTGACTCTGCCAGCAGCTTCTCATAAGGTTCCCTTACTATGCGGTGACTGACACGACCGTTGACAAAAGGCTGCCTGCTCAAAGCATCAGCAATTGAGTTCTTAGGCCCTGGAACATATTTGATGTCAAACTCAAAGGCAGCGAGTTTGGCCACCCATCTTTGTTCACAGGCGTCAAGCCTAGGTTTGGTCAAGATATGCGTCAAAGGGATTATTATCTGTCCAAGCTGTGAACCGATGTCCTTTTAGCCAGTGGGTAAATTTATCACATACGGCCCACTTGAGGGTGAGAAACTCAAGTCGATGTGCTGGATATCTGGCTTGTGCTCTGGATAGTGACTTACTCGCGAATGCAATGGGTCGAGCCCTGCTTTCCCCAGGACTCAGTAGCGAAAGCACGGCGCCCAATCCCTCAGATGAAGCGTCAGTGGCAAGAATAAAGGGTCTGGAAAAGTCAGGATGCGCAAGAATAACATTGGACAAGAGAGTTTCCTTTAATGCTGACAAAGCCGACTCACAAGCTGGAGACCAGTCGTCAGGAGTGAGTTTTTTTGATGTAGGAACCCCTTTGCGTCCAACACCTCTAGCTTTCCTAACTCCGCTTGTCAGAGCAAAAAGCGGTCGAGCAAGAGACGAACAATTCTCAATAAAGCGTTGATACCACATTACGAGGCCAAGAAAGGACTGGATTTTCTTAACTGATGGGGTGACACCATCTGGGCACATCAAATCCGCAGAAGTAATTTTAGTAATTGCTTCAACTTTTCCGGGGTCCGTAGACACACCTCTCTCTGTAATCGAGTGACCGAGGAATTTTACAGAGCGTCTTAAAAAGTGGCATTTCTTCGGCGATAATTTCAAATTGTGCTTTTTCAACATACCGAAAATTTTTTGATGCAGGAACCCCTTTGCGTCCAACACCTCTAGCTTTCCTAACTCCGCTTGTCAGAGCAAAAAGCGGTCGAGCAAAAGACAAACAATTCTCAATGAAGCGTTGATACCACATAACGAGGCCAAGAAAAGACTGGATTTTCTTAACTGATGGGGTGACACCATCTGGGCACATCAAATCCACAGAAGTAATTTTAGTAATTGCTTCAACTTTTCCGGGGTCCGTAGACACACCTCTCTCTGTAATCGAGTGACCGAGGAATTTTACAGAGCGTCTTAAAAAGTGGCATTTCTTCGGCGATAATTTCAAATTGTGCTTTTTCAACATACCGAAAACCATCTCCAGCCTCTGCAATGCAACTTCTTCGTTAGGTGCAAAAACCATTAAATCATCCAGGTAGCACAACAGTGACAAAAAATTCTGTTCACCAAAGATCTTAGTCATCATTCGCATAAAGCTCGCTGGTGAGTTACAGAGGCCTTGAGGAAGCCTATTGTATTCGTGCAACCCCACCGGTGTTGTGAACGCTGTATACTTTCTGTCGTCCTCATGTACTGGGACATTATAAAATCCTGAGGTAAAATCCATAGTACTAAAGAATGAATTGCCACCTAGGGCTGCTAGACAGTCTTCCTGATGGGGCAGGGGGTGTGCATCCTTCACTGTCCGCGCATTAAGCCAGAAGATTGCCATCTTTTTTCCAAGACAGAACCAAAGGTGACGCGAATTCAGTGACTGACTTGCTAATTATTCCCCTCTCCTCCATCTCGTTCAAAGCAACACGTAATTCCTGGTATTGTGAAGGAGGGACTCGTCTGTATGGTAAGCGAAACGGCCTTTCGTCGAACAGACGAATCCTGTGTACAAAGTCCTTGACTTCACCGCAATCAAGAGAATGTCTGGAGGGCTGCTAGACAGTCTTCCTGATGGGGCAGGGGGTGTGCATCCTTCACTGAAATCTGTACATATGCGAAGATTGCCATCTTTTTTCCAGCACAGAACCAAAGGTGACGCGAATTCAGTGACTGACTTGCTAATTATTCCCCTCTCCTCCATCTCGTTCAAAGCAACACGTAATTCCTGGTATTGTGAAGGAGGGACTCGTCTGTATGGTAAGCGAAACGGCCTTTCGTCGAACAGACAAATCCTGTGTACAAAGTCCTTGACTTCACCGCAATCAAGAGAATGTCTGGAAAAGATAGACTCATACTCGAGCACTAAGTCACACAATTTTGCCTTCCAGAATTCAGAAACTTCGCACTTTTCCAAATCAACAGTCACTAATCCACACTTACAGAGTCTGTCGGTCAGTTTATTAGACTTATCTGACTCAGCTGCTGACTGCTGACTGCTCGATCGAAGTGGAAGCTCAGGCCTTGTTTCGCACACATCCTCCAACGCAATACAGGGATAAACATCGGCCACTTTGGCGTTTCTCTTCAGTGTTACTGGTTTATCGCTAGGGTTGATGTTAAGTGGAATCCAGCCATCGCCCCAAAGCGGAGTGACAACACGACACACTAAAACATTCCTGGAGGCAGAACGAAGTCTAGATGGCTCCACCATAACTGTACTGCCCGGTTGGCTACAGGACTTAAGAGGGAGTTTACCCCAGACAAGATGCTCTTGGCCAGGCGAAAGTGTAACAGTGTGTTGAAGTTTAACTGTACCAACAACATCTGGAATAGTTCCACCCCTCCATCGACATACTCCAGCCATCATAGACAAGAACTCGTCACTCTCTGGATTATGTCCACTGGGTGTAGAGATCAGTTCCCAATATCTGTCAGAATCTTTTAATCTGTGAACAAGATGTTTGATGACGTTTGTCCCCAGAATGAGATCATCTCCTTGGCCTGGAACAACAAGACAAGGGACAATAACGTCACAGCCGTAAATGTCCAGCTTAAGCGCAAGCATGCACTTTGGGAATGTTCGTTTGCCGCCACATCCAATTAAGACGACGTCTGTATCTTCTTCCTTAACAGTATCCAAAGCACCATGTTCCCTTAGTTTACTGACAACTGAATCATTTAACGTACAGGCCATAGAGCCGGTGTCCAACATTGCACTGACAGTGAATGAATCATTAATACGGACAGGTGTGTAAAAAAGTGTATCTGAGCATTCAACGCGTTGTGTATTTTGAAAGACGACTTTCTGGAAGTCAGGACATATGTTCTTAAAGGAGCTGAACAAAGCTTCCAAATCTGTATCCACTTTGAGGGATTTTTCAACATCACCCACACACCCCCTCTCAGAATGCGGGCGAGTCAGTTTCCCTGACTGTTGGGTGACATTATTGCAGAAGTCGAATTTGGGAATTTCGCTGTGCAGTCACGTTTGGAGTGACCAGCACTCAAATCTTACAGTTGCTTGGTCCAACTGTGTTCCTTCTACGCACTCTCCCAGAAGACACATACTCAGGTTTACGCTCCTCCTTTGCCTTTAAAACTTCAATTAGCTGAGCCAGAATGTCAGCCATCCGATTCAGACTGGAGTGATCATTTGCATCCAGTTTAGGCTCACCAGGCCCGTTGGTCCCCTGCTTGAGACACATTAATGTAGACTCAGAAACAACGTAAGAATTTCCACAGCTCTGTATGGTCGTGTGTGCATTTTGGCTGACTGGGTAGGCGTTGGTGCTTGATCTTAGCTTAAGCTCACGTTGGAAACTATCTAAAAGCTCCTGGACATCTTTTGCAGTCCAGCATTCTAACGGCCGTACTTTAAAAGTGCGTGCTAGATCAGGGTCTGGGCAATTTCTCACAAACATCATTGCAACTTCAGAATTTAAATTGTCCATTCTTCTGCCCTGCCCTCTGAGACACTCGTCAGCTATATCTGCTGCTTTATTAAGGCGAAGCCAGTAGTCAACAGGATTTTCGCCGTGTTTGGGCAATGTGCTGTAAAAGTCTGCGAGTGGCATGCTGGAGCAGGACACTTCACTGAAGTGTTGCTTAAGTATGCTGTATATAATCTCAGGGTGATTTGTGCAGTCAAGCGCAGGGTTGCTGCGTAGGGCTACTTTCACAATGTCTTTAGCCCTGCCCATTAGATGACTAATAATCTCATCAGCCTGTTCGGTAATTTTGACATTTCTCTTCTGCAGGTAAACTTGCATCATCTCAACCCATTCTTGAATGTCATGTCTACCTAAACCATCCCCCCTAAACACTGATGGGACTTTTTCATCTGATTTCAGAACGACATTCAACTGTGACAAATCAAGATTAGCACACTGAGAGCCTGTGGTGTTACTACCATTATTGGTTCTGGCAAATTCACCCCCTGACAAAAGTTTGGCTGTGACTGAGTCACCAATTTGTCGGCCCAATTCTTTAACTAAAGCACCTAATTCACTGACGCCTTGATCACTAGAACTTTCCACATTACATGGCTTCGGAGTAGAAGTAAGAGGGAGAGTCTTATGTACATCATGAGCCATATAATTTCTCCCATTACCAGCATGAATGTCAGTCTTACAGTCAAATTCACCCAACCCTGGCTTGTTATCAGAAAACTGCATCAGATATTTCCCCCGTCCAATCCCAAGAAAATAATTATCTGCACCACCCTCAGCCATTTTTTCAAATGTAAAATACTCAGAATGTTCTAAGCTAAACTCAAAAGTCAGATTAATCAATCAGTCTTCTATTCACTTATCTGTAGTCCAACATTTTTCTCTTTCGAAAGTCCCCCTAAAAAAGTGTCTTTAACTGGAGAATCTGGCAACCGCAGTCCACTCGACCGAATGAAGCACGCGATGTCCACGCCTCTCTTCGCTGTAGGCCTTGTCGTCCCCCCGGAGATTGGCTTTGCGTTGATCACAAACGGGAATCACGGCACCATTGTAACCCCGCTTTCTGGTTCTTTCTTTTAACCCATCCGGAAAGGACAACACCGAGACGTAGGCTCAGCTCACTCATCACGTTTACTGGAATATATGAAATGACACCAAACAGACATGAAATACAGCTCATCCGGTCTCATAACATTCTCCTCAACAGCTTTCATGCGACTGATTTACCAGTTCAACAAACAATAAATCAGTCTTTCCATAATTAAAAGCTCAATTTCTTTTTCTGTTGTTTTTCTGAACATAGAAAATATAACATCATAAAAACATTAGTACATTATACCTGGAATATATGAAATGACACCAAACAGACATGAAATACAGCTCATCCGGTCTCATAACTGTCAAAAATAAATATACATGTGAAAATAAGCAATGAGAAAATACAGAGACAGAAACGCAAGTAGTCCGACGTTTTTCTCTTTCGAAAGTCCCCCGAAAAAAAAAGTGTCTTTAACTGGAGAATCTGGCAACCGCAGTCCACTCGACTGAATGAAGCATGCGACGTCCACGCTGCTCCCCACTGTAGGCCTTGTCGTCCCCCCGGAGATCGGCTTTGCGTTGATCACAAACGGGAATCACGGCACCATTGTAACCCCACTTTTCTGGTTCTTTCTTTTAACCCATCCGGAAAGGACAACACCGAGACGTAGGCTCAGCTCACTCATCACGTTTACTGGAATATATGAAATGACACCAAACAGACATGAAATACAGCTCATCCGGTCTCATAACATTCTCCTCAACAGCTTTCATGCGACTGATTTACCAGTTCAACAAACAATAAATCAGTCTTTCCATAATTAAAAGCTCAATTTCTTTTTCTGTTGTTTTTCTGAACATAGAAAATATAACATCATAAAAACATTAGTACATTATACCTGGAATATATGAAATGACACCAAACAGACATGAAATACAGCTCAACCGGTCTCATAACTGTCAAAAATAAATATACATGTGAAAATAAGCAATGAAAATACAGAGACAGAAACACAACGAATACCATGTGCTCCTAATGCACTCAACAGTGCGTTCGGAATAAAACATCAATTATTCGTCAACTCTAGATCTCTTATGACTCAAATATGAAATAAAATACTTTTAAAATAACAATTTTGACCTCAAAGAGAAATAAAATCATCTCTGACAACATTTTATTTCTGTTCGACCGGAGAGAGATTTTACACCTACCATTCTCCTCAACAGCTTTCATGCGACTGAGGAGAAAATGGCCGACTCCACTGATAGGTTACCTTAGTCACCTGTAGGTGTCCCCATATCCCTTTCTTTTAGATGCACTTAATACATTCTATTCAATTAATATCTTAGAATTATTTTGCAATATGAACAATCATTTTAGCACAATTCATTACAAGTTTCTTTTCCCCGTTACACCTACCCCAACTCTCCCCCTAAACCTACCCCTCACAGGAAACGTTGT